GGAATTCTCCTCTCCAACCCCAAACAATCCTGGAATTCTCTCTCCAACCCCAAACAATCCTGGAATTCTCCTCTCCAGACGCCTCCCGAGAGGCGAATCCAGAATTCCCGGCTGGAATTCTTTCCCGCCAGGACAGATCTTTTGTCCCGGGGGTCCCGAAGCGGCCGCCGGAGTCTTCCCACGGCCGGGGGGACAAAGGGACCCCCGAGCCCCCCGCTGGGCCCTGACCCACTTCAACCCAGCCGGGGTTCATTAATTCCGGGGATTAATTGGGTTATGCTAATGAGGGGGGTTGGTGGGAAATGAGGGCGGTGCTGGAGGTGGGGTTTTTGGGGGGGGGGTTTTGTTATTTGGGGGGATTTTAGGGGAAAATCTTCGTTTTGGGGGAGGGAATTTGGGGAAAATTCTTCCTCCTAAGGGGGGTTTGGGGGGAATTTTTTTTAGGGAAATTAGGGAAAGTTTTAGGGGAAATTCTTCCCCCTTATTGGAGGTTTTTGGGAAAATTCTTCCTCTTAGGGGGGATTTTAGGGGAAATTTTTCTTCTCAAGGGGGATTTTAGGGGAATTTTTTCCTCTTAGGGGGAATTTTAGGGGAAATTTTTCATTTTGGGGAGGGAATTTGGGGAAAATTCTTCCTCTTAAGGAGGATTTTAGGGGAAATTTTTCCACTTTGGGAGGATTTTAGGGAAAATTCTTCCTCTTAAGGGGGATTTTAGGGAAATTTTTCCACTTGAGGGGGATTTTAGGGGAAATTCTTTGTTTTGGGGAGGGAATTTGGGGAAAATTCTTCCTCCTAAGGGGGATTTTAGGGAAAATTCTTCCCCTTTATTGGGGATTTTTTGGGGGGAATTTGGGGGGGATTTTAGGGAAAACTGTTCTCCTTTATTGGGGATTTTGGGGGGGATTTTAGGGAAAACTCTTCCTCTTAAGGGGGATTTTAGGGAAAATTCTTCCTTCAGTGGGGAATTTTGGGGTGGATTCGGCTGTATTCGCACCAAAAAAAAAAAAAAAAAAAAAAAAAAAAAATTCCCAAATTTTCCAAACCCAAAAAAAAAAAAAACCCCACAGAATTCCCGACCTGTCCAATCCCAAATCCATCCCCATCCAGACTTCCCCACCCCCAAATCTTCGCTCCGGAGGTTGAATCTTGGTGGGAAAAAAAATGGGATTTCTGGATTTTTCCTATTCCATCAGGCGGCCGCCGGAGTTTCCGGGAGAAGAATTCCATAGGGACGGGAATTCCGGGGTTTTGGAGAAACCCGAGAGCCTGAAAATCCCGTTATCCTGCAAGGAAAAGGGGTGGGGTTTGGGAATAGCTTTTTCGGGAATTTTTTGGATCCCAAAAAAAATTCCCCGATGGATTTTCCCGTTACCTCCAAGTAGGCGGTGGAGACCAAAGCTCGGTCCAGCCTCTTCCTCTTGGTGGAGGGAGGCTGTGGGGGGAAAAAGGGGAGGGAAAAGGAAAATTCCGGGTGGGAAAAGCGGGGCGGCGATCCCAAAATTTTGGGGATCTGGTATCCCTAAAAATTGGGGATTTGTTACCCTTAAAAATCGGGGATTTGGTGTCCCTAAAACTTGGGAATTTTTGGTACTGGGAATATTTTGGTATCCCTGAAACTTTGGGGATTTGGTGTCCCTAAAAATTGGGGATTTGGGATTCCTAAAAATTGGGGATTTGGTGTCCCTAAAAATTGGGAATTTGATATCCCTGAAAATCAGGGATTTGGTTTTCCTAAAACTTGGGAATTTTTGGTATTGGGAATATTTTGGTGTCCCTAAAAATCGGGTTTTTAATATTCCTAAAAATTTGGGGATTTGGTATTTCTAAGAATTGGGAATTTGGGATTCCTAAAAATCGGGGATTTGGTGTCCCTAAAACTTGGGAATTTTTGGTACTGGGAATATTTTGGTATCCCTAAAACTTTGGGGATTTGGTGTTCCTAAAAATTGGGAATTTGGGATTCCTAAAAATTGGGAATTTGGGATTCCTAAAAATTGGGGATTTGGTATTCCTAAAAATTGGGAATTTTTGGTATTGGGAATATTTTGGTATCCCTAAAAATCGGGGATTTGGTGTCCCTAAAAATTGGGAATTTGGGATTCCTAAAAATCGGGGATTTGGTGTCCCTAAAAATTGGGAAATTTGGATTCCTAAAAATCGGGGATTTGGTGTCCCTAAAACTTGGGAATTTTTGGTACTGGGAATATTTTGGTATCCCTAAAACTTTGGGGATTTGGTGTTCCTAAAAATTGGGAATTTGGGATTCCTAAAAATTGGGAATTTGGGATTCCTAAAAATTGGGGATTTGGTATTCCTAAAAATTGGGAATTTTTGGTATTGGGAATATTTTGGTATCCCTAAAAATCGGGGATTTGGTGTCCCTAAAAATTGGGAATTTGGGATTCCTAAAAATCGGGGATTTGGTGTCCCTAAAAATTGGGAATTTTTGGTATTGGGAATATTTTGGTATCCCTAAAAATCGGGGATTTGGTATTCCTAATAATTGGGAATTTGGTGTCCCTAAAATTTGGGAATTCGATATTCCTAAAAATCTGGGGATTTGGTATTCCTAAAAATCGGGAATTTGGTATTCCTAAAAATTGGGAATTTGGGATTCCTAAAAATCTGGGGATTTGATATTCCTAGAACTTTGGGAATTTGGCATCCCTAAAACTCGGGGTCGCTCCGGGTGATCCTCACCCTCCGTCCAAACTGGACCGTGGAGTAAACGGTGAAATTCCCGGATTCCTCCTGGTGCCTGGGATGCTCCTGCCAGGGAAGAAGGAAAAAATCGGGATGAGCCAATAAAAAAAGAGGGAATTTTGGGATGGGAAAGGGATAAAAAACCCGGGATCCGGCGGGAATGGCCGCACCAGTGTCCTGGGAGCGACCACGGCGTAGACGGTGGCTCCTTCCCGGGCGGCCTCGCTGCTCCCGGCCTGGGAAAACACAAAAAGAGGGAAAAAAAAATAAAAATCTGGGAATGCTCCAAAGGATCCAATCCCGATTTTCCCAAAAGGGAAGGAATCTCCTCGCGGAAGCGCCCGAGGTTTGGGGATGGCCGGACGTGGAGTGACCAGGGGGTCAGCCCCAGCTCCCAGGGAGTTTCCAAGGCCGGAATTCCCAGATTTTGGGTGGGAAGGGGCATTCCCGGCACTCACGGGGTCCTGGCGGGGTTTCCTCTCTCCCACCTCGGCGTAGATGGTCAGGGGCTGCTCCGGGGGGGCTCCGGGGGGCTCTGTGGGAGCAGAATTCCCAGGTTTTGGGGTTCCAAGGGTCAGTTTGGGGCCAGAATTCCCAGGTTTTGGGGTTCCAAGGGTCAGTTTGGGGTCAGAATTCCCAGGTTTTGGGGTTCCAAGGGTCAGAATTCCCAGATTTCGTGGTTCCAAGGGTCAGTTTGGGGCCAGAATTCCCAGGTTTTGGGGTTCCAAGGGTCAGTTTGGGGTCAGAATTCCCAGGTTTTGTGGTTCCAAGGACCGGAATTCCCAAATTTTGGGGTTCCAAAGATCAGAATTCCCAGATTTTGTGGTTCCAAGGGCCAGAATTCCCAGATTTTGGGCATTCCAAGGACCGGAATTCCCGGATTTTGGGCATTCCAGGGCTCAGAACTCCCAAACTGTGGTTCCAAGCATCAGTTTGGGATCAGAATTCCCAGATTTTGGGGTTCCAAGGATCAGAATTCCCAGATTTTGTGGTTCCAAGGACCAGAATTCCCAGATTTTTGTGGTTCCAAGGGTCAGAATTCCCAGATTTTGTGGTTCCAAGGACCGGAATTCCCAGATTTTTGTGGTTCCAAGGGTCGGCATTCCCAGATTTTGTGGTTCCAAGGGTCAGAATTCCCAGATTTTGTGGTTCCAAGGGTCGGCATTCCCAGATTTTGTGGTTCCAAGGGCTGGAAATCCCAGATTTTGTGGTTCCAAGGGCTGGAAATCCCAGATTTTGTGGTTCCAAAGGTCGTAATTCCCGGATTTTGGGCATTCCAGGGATCAGACCCTCCCCAGAGCGGATCCTGCTCCGGCATTCCCGCCTCACCTTCCCGGGAATTCTTGCTCCGCTTCCAGCAGCAGCCGCTGCCCGCCAGGAGCAGGATCAGCCCCACGGCCACGGCCGCCGCTATCCAGGGGCCGAAATTCCCGGGAATTCCTGGAAAAGAATCCCAGAATCCCGGAACTGGGCTGGGAATCCGGGATGAAACCATTCCCAGGATTCCCCAAATCTATAAATTGATCTTTTTTCTTTATTTTTTTTTTTTTGGCCTTAAATAAAATAAATTATAAATTCATAAATCGTAAATAAAATTAATGGATAATTGTGGGTTAAAGAGATGAAAAATATTGGGGTTTATATAGGAATAATTAGGGATTTAATTAATAATAATAAATAAATAAGTATTAATAATAGTAATAATAAGTATAAATAGACATTTTTATCTATGTAAACGAATATATATTTTATATCAAAGATATAATAGATACAATATATTTATATAATATATATTTTATATATAACATATTTTATCATTTATATAATATATAAATGTATTTTATATTTTATAATTTGCATTTTATACTTTAGAATTTGCAGTTTCTATTTCATATTTTAGAATTTGCATTTTATATTTTTTTATTTTAGAATTTGCATTTCATCTTTTATCTTTTATCTTTTATCTTTTATCTTTTGCATTTGATATTTTTTATTTTACATTTTATCTTTTGTATTTTACATTTGATATTATTTTATTATTTGCATTTTATACAAACGGATTTTAATAATATCATAATAATAATAGTATAATAATATATAACTATATAATTATATAATTATATAAATAGATACATATATAAATATATAATTAAATAATTATAATATATAATAACATTATAATAATAATAAATAATAATTCTTATAAAATAAATATCGATTTATCACAGAACACACCCCAAAAATTCCCCTTTCACCTTAAAAACCCAACCAAAAAAATCACATTTTTCACACCTACCCAAACCATTTTTTCCCGTAAAACCGCGTTTTTCCCCCCCGAGAACCCCCCGTAAAACCGGGAATCCTCCTGGATCCCCGCAATTCCCATGGAAAATTCCAGAACTCCATGGAAGAGCTCACCTGGGCAGGTGAGGGGGGCTCTGGCCGCGCCCCAGCCCGCGGCGTTGCTGACGTTGCAGAGGCAAATTTGGGGTTCCGCGTCCTCGGGGACCCTCCGGGTGAGGCGGGATGGGGATTCCAGGGATTCCGGGGATAATTCCGGGGATTTTGGGGATAATTCCGGGAATTCCGGGGGTTCCGGGGGCTCGCCGGGACATTCCCAGCTGTAGGAGACGTTCCCGGGGCTGGAGCAGAGCAGGGACAGGAGGCACCAGCCCGGATCCCGAGCCAGGATCCGAGATTCCAACCGCGGCTCCTGGATGGGATCTGCGGGGACACGGGGACAGATGGACAGATGGACACGGGGACAGATGGACACGGGGACAGATGGACAGATGGACACGGGGACAGGAGGCACCAGCCCGGATCCCGAGCCAGGATCCGAGATTCCAACCGCGGCTCCTGGATGGGATCTGCGGGGACACGAGGACAGATGGACACGGGGACAGATGGACACGGGGACAGATGGACACGGGGACAGATGGACACGGGGACAGGATGGATGGACAGATGGACACGGGGACAGAGGGACACGGGGACAGATGGACAGATGGACACGGGGACAGATGGACACGGGGACAGAGGGACACGGGGACAGATGGACACGGGGACAGATGGACACGGGGACAG